TCCAAGCCCTCCATTCATCTAACAGTTGTTACTTCCCACCTGATCTACCAGCTGGCCACTCAACTTCTGGGGCAGCCCTGCCCCTCACGGGGACTCCAGGGTCTTTCCACAAACCTTCCTGGCTGCTGTCACCTTTTCCCTTGACTTTGACCTTGGCTTGATGCTGCCCAGGGGGAGCTTGTTGCCTCCCCATCCAGCCTCTCGGGACTTTCCACCTACCCACACCGTGGGTCAGAAACCAGGAGAGATGGCAAGATTTTCTAACTCAGTGTCCATAAACCTGGGACCTCCCTCCCCCGAATTCGTATCCGTGTTTCATTTCAATAGTAATCACAGTAAATGAGAAAATAACTAAAAAATATAATAGTGTCAGCTTCTGCAGTAGTGTGAATGAAATCATCTTTGGATTTTTTGTTTGTTTGAGGCAGAGTCTCACTGTGTAGCCTTGGCTAGACCGGAACTCTCTATATAGACTGGGTTGTCCTCAAACTCAGAGATATGCCTGCCTCTGCCTCCTGAGCGTTAGGATTAAAGGCATTCGCCACCACACCTGGCCATTTTTGGATTTTTAACTAGCAGTGGAGCTGGGGTCTGCAAGCCCCCCTTGTCTTTCCCTCTTTCTGGGCCTCCCAAGGCCCCTCATTGCCAGTTATGCCTGGGTTGGTTAGACAAATAAACCCAATGAACCTTCATTTTAAGGACACTCCCTTTGCTACAATCCTCTGGCCAAATCCCGAGGCAGAAAGGGGTCCTGGGGCCCTGGTGCTTCTTGATTTCTCCCCACCCCTATATTCCAATGGGGTCCCATCCTGGGCCTCCAGCTGCCCACCCGGTTCTTGTGGGTGGTGCCTGTCCAGAAGCAGAGACACAAACCTTCCTTTAAAGGCAGCAAATGTTATTTCTCAAAAATAAATCTTCTATATTTGTTACACAATCAGCCAGGCCCTGGCAAGCCCCAGCCCCAGCACTAGCACATCGAATGCCAAAAATCCAAATCTAAGCCAGACATGGTGGCACACACCCATAATCCCAGCAATGAGGAAGCTGAGGGTACGGGAAGTTTGAGGTTAGTCTGGGTTACATAGTGAGACCTGTCTCAAAAAAATAAAATTACACAAATCTTGAGGTTCTGATAGATCTACATACAAAGGTCAGAGAAAGCAGTAAAGCTAGACCCAGGTAGCAGATTGAAGAGTTAAACCCCCCCCCCACACACACACACATCCATAAGCTAGACCCAGGTAGCAGATTGAATAGTTAAACCCGCCCCCCCCCCCACACACATCCAAAAGCTAGACCCAGGTAGCGGATTGAAGAGTAACCCCACACACACACACACACATCCATAAGCTAGACTCAGGTAGCAGATTGAATAGTTAACCCCCCCCACACACATCCATAAGCTAGACCCAGGTAGCAGATTGAATAGTTAACCCCACACACACACACACATCCATAAGCTAGACCCAAGGTAGCAGATTGAAGAGTAACACCCACACCCACACACACACACACACACACACACACACACACACACACACACACACACACACACGCATCCATAAGCTAGACCCGGGTAGCGGATTGAAGAATAAACCCCCCTCCCCGCCCCCCCTCACATCCATAAGCTAGACCCGGGTATCGGATTGAAGAATAACACCCCTCCCCTGCAAACATCCTTGTCCTTCCAGACTTTTTTTGGAATAAGAGTCTTTTGCTGGTATAATTAGGATAAGAACCTTGAGATGATATCCTCCTGAATTAGAGTGATGTTTCTTGACCTGTGTCATTCTAAGGAAAGAGGAGGACACACAGTTAGAAGAGCCCAGAGGAAAGACAGCCCCCGGAGGTGACAGCAGAGACAAGACCAGTGCAGCCACTGACTGGAAGAGGCAGGCAGGGGCCTCAGCTGCACACTTCAGAACGTGGGTCTGCTGACACCTGGGTTTTGTTCATTTGTTTGTTTGATTGATTGATTGATTTCTGGCCTTGAGAATTGGGAGAGAGTAGTTTCTATTGGTTCAAGCTGCCCAACTTGTGACAATTTGTTATAGCAGTCATGGGACAGGCACACCAGGGATTAATGACTACAATGTGTCAAAGCAGGTCCAGGTTCATGAAAGGCCAACAATCCCCAGGAACCCCGGTCCAGCAGCATTTAGGAGTTTAACCACACAGGCTTTCCAAGAGCTGCTGGCAAGTGGCCTGTAGAGGAAAAGAGATCAAGATAAGAAGGGCAAGTGCTGGAGCAGAGCTGATTCCCAGCCCCTCAGGCCTTGGAAGGAGCCCACACAGGTGTAAATGACATCAGAGAGAACCTGAAGACAGAGGCTGGCTGGGTGGAGGTGAGGGACAGAGGTGTGGCAGGGTTGAGCGGCTTTGGAAAGGTTGTGAGGACTGAGTAGCTCACACACACACACACACACATACACACACACACACACACGCACGCACACACGCACGCGCGCACACGCACGCACGCATGCATGCATGCATACCCACACACACCATGCCAAGGTCTTCTGGAGCAGGAGAGTCATCTTGGAAAAACACCAGTTCATACAGCTGGGCAAAAGTAATCCAAACATGAGTTTGAGATGGGCAGGAAGAGCCAGACTGGAGGGCTGGGGAAGGGACAGCAAGCCTCAGAGCAGTTGATAGAGCCCAGCCATGAGGCAGTCTGTGCAGGCTCTCTGCTTTGCGGGGGTCTCAGAGAGGGGAAGAGGAGGCTTGGGACTTCGATGGGAACCTCTGAACTAACTTTACTGGAACAGACCACCCAAACCAGTCAGATGTCGCTGTTTCCAGAGAGGCACAAGAGCAGCCTGGGGGTTCAGGAAAGGAGAGGCCAGAGACTCCCCACACCCACGTCAGATCTCAGCCCTCGGCTCAGGCCTGCCTCCTGAGAGCCACTGCTCAGTTACGGAACTTGTATGGGCCCACGTTACTGGGGTATATATGCAGGCAGAAGGAGCCTACACGGCATGCTTCTTTCTACTTAGCATGTATGCTCTCTAGACTCATCCAGGCTACTGTACCACACACATCCCTTTTATCTTAAGGCCACCTAGTATTGGATATATACCAAGGAGGTGACATGCCTCACTATTGTCCCTAAGGCAGGCCTTGCCTTCTCAGACTCACTCCACCACCTTCCTACAGTGACTACCCAGTAGAACTGTGTGGGGCGATTAAGTCAGCTGAGGAATGAAACGTAAAGACAATTTCCACATATGAATCTATCTATCTATCTATCTATCTATCTATCTATCTATCTATCTATCTATGTGGTGCGAGTGCTCTGTCTGCATGTACAACTTTATGCCAGAAGAGGGCATCAGATCCTATTATAGATGGGAACTAGCATGTGGTTGCTGGGAATTGAACTCAGGACCTCTGGAAAAACAGCCAGTGCTCTTAACTACTGAGCCATCTCTCCAGTCCCCACCCCCCAAATATATGAATCTTAAGTCTCCTTTCTGTGGAGTCCTTACTACAGTCCAAGGACTACTCTCCAAGAACGGCAACTCGATTCAAGCACATCTCAGTCTCACTGAGTCCAAGACCTACCCCGCGGCTATGCATCCTACTGCTAACCCCACTGTGAAAGCTACTCCCAGTACCCGGAGAGTCTCAAACAGGTTCCTCAGCATTCCAGGAGAAAGCCCTTCCCTTCTCCACCTGTCCCAGGAAGATTACAGACCTGTTCTTTGGTATGCTCTGGGACACAAATAGGCACACACATATGTATAGCACACTCAGTACTCATAACCTACAGCTAGCCCAAACTACTCTCGAACTGGAGACCCTCCATTCTCAGCTTGGAGTGCCGACAGTACAAAGGCATGCCACCTCGCCAGGCCAAACTGTAAATTTATATATGGTTCCACTTGCCATCCTTTCCCTCCAGTATTACCAAGTTGGTTGTGTTACTTAGATCACAAAGATATTCCAGTGGGGCTGGAAAGACAGTTAAGTAGTTAAGATCACTTGCTGGTCTTGCAGAGGTCCTGGGTTCAGTTCCCAACCATCCCTAACTCCAGTTCAGGGAGATCTGGCACGCTCCTCAAATTTCCACCAGCACCAGGTGTTAATCCCCAAGATGAGAGGAGAAAGACCACCGACCCAAACCATCATGGCCAAATTAATTAAAGCAAGCAATTAATTAAAGCGAATTTTTTTATTCATGAACACGGGCTGCCTCCCCCTAAGGTGGGGTTCGAGGGGTCAGCATTGGATTTGAGGAAGACAAGGCTTTTACAGCTCATGGGTAGGGGATTTCCAAATGGGAGATTTGACAGGCAAAATAGGTGGGGTTATAGGAGCAGAACAGAACATGTGGCCAAAACAAGGTCATCACAACAGGTAGTCATATAACCTTTTGAAACAAAGGCAGGGTTGTAAGATGGTTATAAACAACTTTGTGAAACAAAGACATGATTGCCATTCTGTACAGACAGTACAGAACCATTGTAGTTAAGGTTGGGGGTGGGCATAGCCCAATCCTTGAGAAACAGAAGTTTTATCATGAACAGGAACGGACTTAGTTTGTTTTCTACTATAATATGGCTTTTAAGCCTAAGATGGAGGAAGACTGTTTTTTTTTTTTTTTTTTTTTTTTTTTTTTGTAGACCAGGCTGGCCTCAAACTCACAGAGATACGCCTGGCTCTGCCTCCCAAGTGCTGGGATTAAAGGCATGCGCCACCGCCGGCCTTCGGAAGGCTGGTTCTTTACAGGCATACACGTGGTACACATATATACACTCAGGCAAAACAGTCAAGCACATAAATCTTTTAAAAAAATTATTAAGGGACCAGAGAAATGGCTTAATGATTAAGAACCACTTATTGCTCTGAGTTAGGGACCTGAGTTAGGTTCCCAGCATTCACAGGGACAGCAGCTCACCATTTCCCAGGATCTGACTCTTCTCACTCAGCAGGCACCAAGCATCCACGTGTTATACAGCCACACATGCAAGCAAAAACACGTATACACATAAAACAAAGATAAATAAATTTAATAAATATTTTTTAGAAATAAAAAAAAAATCGAGTTTCTGCCAGTACAGTTTGGGTTTCTTTTCAGATTGATTTGAATGTTTGATCCATCTGGGATTTACTTGATGGGGGCCAATTTCTATTTTTCCAAATGGACGGCCAGCTGGTCCCAATGCCATTAGATTGGAAAATTTTTTCACAGTCCGTTAGCTCACTCACAGACTACGTATCTGCTCTCCTTTGCAGACGCAGAGGATGCCGCGCAGGCGCTGTGTCACCAACAGAGGCAGCTGGTCCAGGGTAAGCTGAGGCACCGCCCTTTGCGGGGGGGAGTATAGGAAAGGGATGGTGAAGACCCCGCCCCCTAGAGAAGAAAAAGGCCCGCCCAGTCGAAGAAGCCCCGCCCACGGACCCCGGCCCTCCCCTCCAAGGTCTGCGAAGCCAATGGGGCTTTCCCAGGGAGGAGGTCAACAGCCGCAGCCGAGTCCTCGGGCGTTATTTGCATAGAGGTGGGGCCTCAGGGGCGGAGCCAACCCTTCCCGGGGCGCGCCTCATTTGCATAGAGTCCCCCACCCCCCGCAGAGGAGCAGACTCCGCTTCCTCTCCCCGCCAGCTTCCTCGCTGTCCTTCCGCCTCCTTTCCTGACCTCGGCTTCCTCGGTTCTGCGGCCTTCCGTGCCTCCTGAGTTCCGTATCCAGATGCTTCCCAAGCGGCGGCGAGTGCGGGCTGAGTCCCCACCCCGCGCTGGTGCTTCCTCCGCGCCGCCGCCGGTGCGCTTCCCGGGGGTGGCCATCTACCTGGCCGAGCCGCGCATGGGCCGCAGCCGCCGGGCCTTCCTCACCCGTCTGGCGCAGTCCAAAGGCTTCCGCATCCTAGATACCTACAGGTGTGCGGCTCCCGCGAGGGCCCGGTGTTGGTGGGATGCCAGCCTCGCGGGGGGGCTGGTATAAGCCGGACACCCAATGTATGGACCCCCCGTGGCCCAGGGCGGGAGATGGTTCGCAGCTGCGGACGGCAGCACCTGCGGCTTTGGGTTCTAAGCCAGGCCTGGCACTTCGCGGTTACAGTACCTTCCTCCAACTCGGAGTTCCTCTTTTTTAAAACGATGCCATCAAGCCAGAGACTTTTTAAAGATCCATACAAGGAAAAGTAGTTAGTGAGCCATATTTGCTAGCTGCTCTCCCTCCCAGTGAGCCAGTGGTCAAGGATGTCCTGAGTTTGCAGAAGTCACCAACCAGCTCCTGTAGAGAACATGCCCAGGGCAATGGAGTAACTTTGCGACTGAAAGTAATAAAGGAACTTGGAGCCTGGCCTCCTTAGGCTGGCTAGCTTGTTTGCACCTCCCCCGCAAATAATGAAACGTTCCTGAAGACTGGTGCACCCGACTCACATAAGAGTGAAGAAAACAACTTGGATTGCACATGGCTCTACGTTTTTACAACAGCCCGACAAAATAGTTTACGTTGGATTTCTCCAATGTAAAGCAAATATAGAGACCATGCTTTCCCTGGGGCATGCGGCAAGGGTTTGCCCACTGAGGTTTGAACAAATAGGGCAAGACTCTTGTGTCTGTATTTAAATCTTAGCAGGGTGGGTTGCCTGCCTGTAATCCTGGTTGCAGGGGTGCTAGAGTTCTGTCCTACATAGCAAGTCTCCAAACAACAATTAGCATTGAGGTCAGAACCACCTGGCCCTGGCTCCTAGGGCACCCCTTTCCCTCCGGCAGAGGGTGGCAGACAAGTTAACCAGTCAAACTGGCTGGTGAATGTGGCTGCACTAAGAACCAGGTAGAAGAGTGGAGAGGTGTGCCTCCGTCTCAGGAGGGCCTGGGAAGGCTTTCTGGAAGAAGGCATTTGAAGAAAGCAGGACAGTCACCACCACAGAGGGCACTGCAAAAGCAAAGCTTGGTATAAGGGCAGAGCAGCAGAGGCCCTGGGTCTCATTCTCCTCCTCTTCCCCCAGCTCAGAGGTGACGCATGTGGTGATGGAGCAGACCTCAGCCGAGGAGGCCATCTGCTGGCAGAAGAACATGGATGCTCTTCTCCCAGGCAGCCCCCAGCCAGTTCTGCTGGACATCAGCTGGTTTACAGAGAGCATGGCAGCAGGGCAGCCTGTCCCTGCGGAGGTCCGGCACCACCTGGAGGTGAGCTAGTGAATGACTAGCTCAGCTGTGACAGATGACACAAGAGCAGTGCCTCAGTGTCCTCAGGAGGAGGTGGGGACTGAGGGTTCTCCCAAGACTGCAGAGGGCCCTGAGAAACCAATAGAAGCCACAGCAGGGATTTGGGGGCTAGACCATCCCACCTCTGTTGTAAGCATTTGGGACCTACTTACTTCTAGTATAATTTAGGTGTTTCTTCCTTAGTACTTGGGATGAACTGAGTTGACAGGAACCTGTCCTTGAGATGCTCTGGAGCCAGGTTGCTAGGAGACAGGAGGCAAGCTCCCTCGCTTCTGAGACCTCAGTTCCCCAGCCAACACATATAGAGTTGAGGGGTAGAGTACATGCCAGTCCTACAGCTTCATGATGACCTGTGCCTTGCCCTTTTGCAGGTACCTGAACCCAGGAAGGAGCCCCCAAGCTCAGTGACGATGCCAACTTACGCCTGTCAGCGTCCCACGCCTCTCACACACCATAACACTACCCTCTCAGTAAGCTGCATCCGTGAACAGATCCCTGCCTCAGAGAGCAGGGACACGGGTAGAGCTGGTTGGTCGCTAAAAGGTTGAGGCAAGGTCCCACGCCCACTTTGCACCTTAACCAAGGGCCCTCCCCGCAGGAGGCTCTGGAGACACTGGCAGAGGCAGCAGGTTTTGAAGGCAATGAGGGCCGTCTCCTCTCCTTCTCCAGAGCAGCCTCGGTGCTCAAGTCTCTTCCCTGCCCTGTCACATCCCTGAGCCAGCTGCAGGGGCTGCCCCTCTTTGGAGAACATTCCTCTAGAGTAATCCAGGTAGGTGCTTGTCGTACTGAGTGGGGTGAGTGTGCGGAGTTGGGGGCCCTGGACCTGGTGGGATAGTAGGAGACTTGGTGGTTCATAGCCCAGTCTGGAAGTATGGGCATGCACATGGATGCCACTTCGAGGCCACAGTAAACCATCTTCAGCGCAGATTCACAGTACGTGAGCTGTTCCCCCGGCCTAGGGTGGATGAGCAGATTCCGTGGAGGTTGCTGCTGCATTGGTGCCATTGTTAGTGCCAGGATGTCTGGGTTTTTTGAGGACCCAACACTGAACCGACCTTTTGGATACTTTTCCTTCAAGAACCCATAGTGGCAAAGCTGCTTTTAGATGAAGTCATACATGTTTCTAAAGGTAAACATTGGTATATCCTGAGACTCACATGAGGAGTGAGCCAATTACAGGGCCCGTTGACTGTTACAACTCCAGCCCTGAAGAACTTTGTGGCTGGAGCCCCTGCTACCCCATCTGTGCCTTGCAACTGTGGTTACCTCCCTGTGTGCAGTCTCCCTTCCAAGTACTGCTGGTCCCTGATACCACAGAGCCCCTTTCTGCAGGGTGTGGAGGGAATTGCCTCACCCTCGGGCTCAGAGTTTTGTTTTGTCTCCTGTCCCAGGAGCTGCTGGAACATGGAACATGTGAGGAGGTGGAACAAGTTCGCAGCTCAGAAAGGCACCAGACCATGAAGGTGTGTGGGGGGAGGGATGGCTAGGACCCTGCATAGCACAATCCACAGCATGAGCAAGCAGCCAGCAAAGGCCTTTTCACCCCGCCCCGGGGTCATAGTAGGTCACTAAGAAATGGCAGCTAAACTGATACCTGATAGGCACCAGGCTGCCATGGGGAGTGCAGGCAGAGGCTGTTTTGAGCATAGGGAATTTTCTGCATTACGCAGTACCATCTGGTTTTTTGATGGAATATTCTTTTTTTTTTTACTCACCCCCGATGGAATATTCTTGTATGTATTAAAGAGCACAATGAACAAAATGGGTATCACCCCATCTCTGTGGTCTCAGGTGTCATTCCTGGTGCCTGTGGCCCTGGGGCACTTGTACCTGTGCCTGCTCACTGCTAACCTGGTAGGGAAGCCACCTGGGTGCTTTGCTTTTGTCTGCTCTGACACCTTCTGCCTCTCCTTTGGTAGCTGCAGATTGGCAGGTCAGTGGCCTGAGATTTATGGCAGTGGATTGTGGCCTCCTGGGAGGGTGAGGCTTGTGGTATAGGGGGACACTGCGCAGAATACTGTCAGAGTGTCAGGGAAGGCTTGGAAGAGAGTCCGCTAGCCAAGAGTCCTGGCTCTGGCCATGCTGGGTAGATCAGGCAGAGTCTGAGCTGAAGTGGTGTTGATGTTGATGTAGGTAAGTGAATGGTTTCTCCATCAGCCTTGGCCCCAGCCCCTGTGAGGGTTTTCTGGGCAGAAGAGAAAGAGATGCACTGGAAATCAGAGGTGTCTCTTCTCCATTTTGCCTCCTGGGCACCCTAAAGTTCAAGAAAATATCCATACTAGCAGAAAATTATATTAGTAACTAGAAATATTATTTTGGTTTTTTTCTAGGGTAGGGGCTTGAGACTTTGTTGTACTGAAGCTGAGGTTGACCCCAACTCAGCACTCCTCCTGCCTCTGCTTCCCAAGTGCTGAGATTATATGTATGAGGACCTCCCACTTGTAAAAATAAATAATGTAGTTGTTATCTCAGTATTTTACTCCTTTTTTTTTTTTTCCCAAGACAGGGTTTCTCTGTGAGGCCTTGGCTGTTCTGGAACTTGCTCTGTAGACTAGGCTGGCCTTGAACTCACAGAGATCCACCTGCCTCTGGGTGCTGAGATTAAAGAAGCATGATGCCACCACCCAGCAGATTTAATTTTTTTTTAAAGATTTATTTATTTATTATGTATACTGTGTTTTGCCTGCAGATACCCCTGCAGACCAGAAGAGGGCACCAGATCTCATTACAGATGGTTGTGAGCTACCATGTGGTTGCTGGGAATTGAACTCAGGACCTCTGGAAGAGCAGCCAGTGCTCTTAACCTCTGAGTCATCTCTCCAGCCCCTAGGAGATTTAATTTTTAAAATTTTTGTTTATTTCTTTGGGGAAGGCACACACCGTGGCACATGTGGAGGTTAGAGGGCAGTTTGCAAGGGTTGGATCCCTTCCTCCTGGGTAGAGTCCAGAGGTGGAACTCAAACCTTCAGGCTTGGCAGTCTTGCCTCACCTGCTGAGTGTCACCAGCCTATTATCTATCCGTCTGTCTTTCTGTCTGTCTGCCTTTCTGTCTGTCTATCTATCTATCTATCTATCTATCTATCTATCTATCTATCTATCTATCGACAGTTTTGTTTTGTAGTGCAGGCTGGCCTCAGTCTCCCAAGTGCTAGAATTACAGACAAGTACCACAGCACCAGGGGCTGGTTTGTTGGTTTTTGGTGGACTGCATCTCATACAGCCCAAGCTGGGCTAGCACACTCTGTAGCTGAGCCCACCTTCCTCCTGCCCTCCCCTCCCAGATGCTGAGATACCAGAATGCACTGCCATATTCACATCGTGTCAGATTAGGTTTTTTGTAGGTTTATTCTTTAAATTACACAAATGCGTGCATGGGTAGGTGTACATGTATGTATGTATGTACACACACGTACACTTGAATATGGGTGAGTGAGGTGGGCAGAGGTGACAGATCTCCTGGAGATAGAGGCAGTTGTAGACTCTCTGACCTGGGTATTGGGAATTGAACTCAGGTCCTCTGCAAGAGTGGTACTTGATCTTTTTTGTTTGTTTTTGTTTTCTCGAGGCAAGGTTTCTCTGTATAGCCCTGGCTGTCCTTGCTCTATAGAACAGGCTGGCCTTGAACTCAGAGACCCATCTGCCTCTGCCTCCTCAGTGCTGGGATTAAAGACATGTGCCACCACCACTACCGAGCTAGTACCAGATTTTGAAAGCCAGGTTCTGTCTTACACTGTGAGTTCAGACAGTCAGGGAAAACAGGGCTGGGAAAAACCCAGGAAGGGCAGGGCTGAGACAGCTCTTCTCCAAGGCAGCTCTGTTTGGTTTGTTTGTGATATAATTTGAGGCTGCCCTAGAATTCAGGATCTTCCTGTATCTGTCTCCTGAGTGCTGGGATGACAGGCGTGCATGGCCACACCTGGCCTCCATCCTCCTGATACATATAGGTATCCTCCGCTGCTAGGAGACATAGCCCCAGAAGGGTTTGGACCATGTATACAATCTCGACTACTGTGTGGGCTGGCCTTAGTCTTATTCCAAAATTCCTGGGAGAGTCTCTCCATGATTGGCCCAAGGCAGGCAACATGCTTCTTAGTCCAGGGCTCCATGGACCCTTTGCATCTGAACCTTTGAGAGCAAGTTCTCCACACCTGCTGTCAGGCCTCCTGTGCCTCTGTTGAACCCGCCCTCTTTGTTCACTCTTCCTTGGGTTGGCTGTTGAAGGGAATGTACAGTAAATCCCAGCTGGAGTAAGTGGAGGCATTTTCCCAGTGAACTAAAACCTGGCGAGCCTGTATATCAGGATAACTCCTTGGATCTGTTGTAAGCTCAGGCTGAGCCTGAGCATTAAGGGGACAGACCTTTTATAAGGGGTGAAGAGAGAGCTTCCTGAAGTTTTCTGGTGGTTGGGCAGCTGAAATATGCTGTCCCTAGTGGGGCTACTCTCAGGGTATGTGGGTCCAGTCCCCTGTGAGAGTGGTCTGGGTGGGCCAGACTCTAGGATTGAGTCCTCATCCCGTGGCACTGGGCATGAAGGCAACGTTCTCAGGGACACCTTCCGTGGAATTTGCCCCCTACCTGTCCATCCCTTCTTCTTCCACATAGCTCTTCACCCAAGTCTTTGGGGTTGGTGTGAAGACTGCCAACCGGTGGTACCAGGAAGGCCTGCGAACCCTGGATGAACTCAGAGAGCAGCCCCAGAGACTGACCCATCAGCAGAAAGCAGGTGAACTTTCCAGAGCCGCCTGGACCTGGGAGCCCTACACACTGAAGCCCTTAGCTCTGCTGGGGACCGTGCTGACGATTGCCTGAGTGCCGGGGAGCAGCTGGCGCAGAGGGATCCTGGTAGCAAGTAGATGGCCTCCCTGGGGTTTTCTCCCTGGAGCTGGGGTCTACCATGGCTCTTCCTCAGTGACTGTTAGCATAACATTGCCGAGGCATCTGGGCCTCATGTTTCCTCCTGTTTGATCTCAATTTGTGTTGAGGACAGCCTTGGTCTGGGCCTGCCTGTCCAATGTGGTGCCTGGTGCACATGGTCTTGGGGTACAGGTGCCACCATGAGTGGAAACAGCTTATAAACTTTGGGTTTGTTATGCCTGGTTTGGGTCCACTCCTCTCCGTGGTATGTAACCATGGCTTCAGGACTAACCTCTCTGAGTCTTGGTTACCTTCTCTGGGAAACACAGAGAAATGATAGCATGAAGCTCCTGAGTGCTTCTGGAAGCCAGCAGGTGATGAGCAGGTATTTGGTCTGTGTAGCCTGCCTGGTCGCTCCAGTGGTCTTGGCTGGAGACTCTGCTGAAGGGCGCCCTGGCCTGCCAATGGCCTCTCCGGGGTGCTGTCTGCTTCAATTGTCTCTTCCCGGGGGCAGGGTAGACAGGATGGCCAGCAGTGTTTACTAAGAGCTTGCTGTGTGCAAGGCTTTGCCGTTTCTCATGCTTAAACCTCCTTAACTGAGCATGGAGGGCACAGCAGTGCCCCTTTGACAGGCAAGAAGACGAATAGGCCAAAGGAGAGGTGGCGGACCCATCTTCGTCACGTATTTTTTATCACCTTTTGGTTGCCTCTGATTAGTGGAGAAGCCGAAACCTAGAACGGGCTGGCTGTGTCTTGAGCCTGTGTGCCATGTAGTTCTGTGAAGGATTTGTTTGTTTTGTTGTAATGTTGGGGATTGAACCTAGGGCCTTATAAGGCACATGTTAAACTCTGCCCCAGCTCTCTGGTATGTAGCCATGGCTGGCCTGAAACTATATATAGACCGTGCTGGTCTCAAACTCACTGGAGTTTTTCATGATACTCAGTTTGTGGGGGAGTTGAGTAAAGGGCACCAGGGATCTTGTTCCCTTCAGTTGCATGAGAATCTGTAGTTACCTCAAAATAAGAATTTATTTTAAAAGGAGGAGTGGACCGTGAGTAGGATCTCGCTCTGCTCCGGCCCCAACCTTTCCCTCTGGTGGCTGTTGTGTGCTGGGGGGTGGGGCTCTGTGAGGAAGATGGGCTGTGCTGCCCACAGGGCTCCAGTACTACGAGGACCTGAGCACCCCAGTTGGGCGAGCTGACGCAGAGGCTCTGCAGCAGTTGGTGGCGGCCGCTGTGAGACAGACCCTGCCCGGGGCCACTGTCACGCTGACTGGCGGTTTCCGGAGGTAAGAGGGCCCACCGTCCCTTCCGAGTACACCCGAGGCTCCTCCCCAAGGTAGGGACTTGAGTTGTGGATGCCGAGGTGGCCTTTCCACTCACTGAAGGGAACATGGCCTGGTGTTGAAGCCAGAGAATCAAACTTTCTCTTTCAGGGGGAAGTTAGAAGGTCACGATGTGGACTTCCTTATCACTCACCCTGAGGAGGGCCAAGAAGTGGGGCTGCTGCCCCGAGTGATGAGCCAACTACAGAGGCAGGTGAGGGCCTTCGGCACCCTGCCCAGCAGTGACGACTGACCAGCCTTCTACCGTCCCAGAACCAGGGCAGCACCTGGCCACACCTGCCTCCCCTCTCGCAGGGACTTGTCCTGTATCACCAATATCATCGCAGCCACTTAGACTCTGCCCACCTCCTGCGGCAGAACTACACCATGGACGCTTTTGAGAGGAGTTTCTGCATCTTGTGCTTGCCCCAACCCCCACACGCAGCTTTAGTGGGGGGCCTGCAGCCCTGTCCAGCCTGGAGAGCTGTGAGGGTAGATCTTGTGGTCACCCCCAGCAGCCAGTTCCCCTTTGCTCTTCTTGGCTGGACTGGCTCCCAGGTAGGTCTTGTGTTCCTTGGGGGGCCTGGGCCTGCGATGGGCCAGCCCTGCTAAAGGCACGTGTCCTCCCCATCTCTCCCCAGCTATTTGAGCGGGAGCTACGGCGTTTCAGCCGGCAAGAGAAGGGGCTGTGGCTGAACAGCCATGGGCTGTTTGATCCTGAGCGGGTAAGTTGCCAGAAACTAGGGTAAAAAACGGTTCCTATAACCTGGATCCTGGTCCACAATCTCAAATATAATGTGCATTGCCGGGTAGTATGACATGGTCCCAGCTACGCTGCACAATAACATGGACCTGGCCCTGCCATGCATGGAAGCATGGCCTGGCTCCAGCTACACTGCATGGAAGCCTGATCTGGGCCCCAGCCACTGACCCTCTTGTTCCTTGCAGAAGACATTTTTCCATGCAACTTCTGAGGAAGACATTTTCAGACTCCTGGGCCTCAAGTACCTTCCTCCAGAGCAGAGAAATGCCTGATCCTGCCTGCTGGCCACCACACCCACCCACAAAAAATGAGGGGTCGCCTCACGTTTGACCAGGGATGTTTGTGGACAGAATGTGCTGACACCGCATGGCCTCACCTGTGCAAATGGAGTTTTCAGCTGCAGCGGGGACATTGGCAAGGTGTGACCCTGAGTCAGCTTTCAACCGCCACACTCCCCAGGGTTAGGGGCCCTGAGCAGTTCGTAGATCATGGAACTATGGCAGAGTCTGAAGTTTTGGTTCTGGTCCTGGTGTGAGCATTTGATCTGTCCAGCTGCTGTCTGCTGCAGGGTACCCTACTCAGTGTGCCGGAAAAGAGACCCGTGTGCCTGCCCTGTGCTTGAGCTGATATGGGAACTATAATTCTGGTTGTGAGGTGATGCACAAGAAACCTGAGTGAGGGCTGTGCTGCAGAATCTGGAGAAGGAAGTGGCCCAAGACAGAAACCTGGTGCTGCTGGGAGCCACAACCCACAGCTGGGCCCCAGACTTCATAAGTGGCACAGCCCCAGAGTCCTCTTCCACATGCCTCCTCTTCCACTCACAGCTGTTGCCCCCCTCACACTCTAGCCTGGGCTGAGCCTAGCCTGCCTACCCACAATCCCCTGTGCATCCACAGCCCCACAGTGAATCCTGGGACAGAGACTGTGCAGCTCAGCCTGGCAGCAATATTGAAAACCATCAGTGGGCAGCAGCTGAGTGCTCTTGCTGTCCTGAGTTGTGAGGTGCAGGCTCCCCGGTCCTGTCTCTCAAAGACAGTCGCTCTGCCGCTTCTGAAAGCCCCTGCAGCAGTTCCAAACCTGCAGTCCTCACGCAGGTCCTGTGGCTCTGGCATTTCTGTCACCTCTTCCAGTCTCAGCTGTATCCCTCTAGTTAAGCCACCCCCCTTCCCAGTTCACTTCCCATGCCTGTTTGCAGACCCTTTGTGACCAAATCCTTCACCTACTTGAGGCAGAAGCACTGACGTGGACTCAGCACGACGTCCTCCATTTCCCTCACACCCCTGGCACCCTCTGGCTCAGAAGGCCCTTGCCTTTGCCTACTGTCCACCCAGTGCCCACTCTCCCTGACAGAGGAGAGCCTCCTAGACCAATCGCCACATTGTGAGTATTTTAAAGATCAACATTCAATAAAATGAATTATTTTTCTTCTTTTTTTTTAAAGATCTATTTGTTATGTATACAGTGTTCTGTCTACATGTTTGCCTTCACACCAGAAGAGGGCACCAGATCTCATTACAGACAGGTGTGAGCCACCATGTGGTTGCTGGGAATTGAACTCAAGACCTCTGGAAGAGCAGTCAGTGCTCTTAACCTCTGAGCCATCTCTCCAGCCCTGATGAATTCTTATGGAGTATAGTTTTAGGCATTTTAACACACATGCACACACACACACACACACACACACACACACAGAGAGAATGGCCACCTCTGCTACCATCAGTGCACGACAGTTCTATCCTCCAGAACCTTGCCTTACAGCATGCTGGTATGGTGACAGGCTTACCCAAAACCACTCATTTGGTTTTGTCCGTACAAATATGTCATAGACATGCAACTAAGCTTCATGTAAGCCATTGTTGGAGGCTCCTGCAGTTGTCACATGTATCAAGTTTGTTTCTCCTGTTGCTGCACGCTATGAGCGTGCCACTGTCCACTCAGCTCCAGAAGGTTTACACTGGCTTTGTGATTGTAACTAGAGCTGCTATGGGCACATGTAAGTGTATCTGTGTGAACAGTGCTGTCCTAGTTACATTCCCTGTTGCTGGGGTAACATAACCCGACAAAAGCAACTTAAGGGAGAAAGGACTTATATTATGGCTCACAGTTCAAGGTTCAGTCCATCATGGCCTGGAAGGCATGGAGCTTGAGGGAGCTCGGCCACATTGACTCCTTGGCCAGGAAGCAGAGATGAATGTGCATGCTCAGCTAGTCTTTTTATGTACTAGCAAGCTGAAGGGTGTCATCCACATTCAGGGTGGGTCTGCACACCTCAGTTAACCTAATAGAGGTAATCCCTCACAGGCATGCCTGGAGGCTTGTCTTCTAGGTAATTCTAAGTGCTGTCAAGTTGACAGTATTCAACATCACAAATATATTCACATTTCTTTTGGATAAATAGCCAGAAATAGGATTATTGGGTCATGTGTATTAGTCATGGATCTCTAAACTTACAGAATAAATATATCTAAAATGGGGACTTATTAGAATGGCTTACAGGCTGTGGTCCAGCTAATCCAACGATGACTGTCTACCAAAGGAAGATCCAAGAACCCAATAGTTGTTCAGTCCACAAAGCTGGATGTCTCAGCTGTCTTCAGTATATGCCAGAATACCAGAGAAGTAGTCTTTCATGTCAATGAATAAATGGACTTGCCAACAAGAGGGAGAGCAAGAAAGCAAAGAGAGAGAGAGAGCTTCCTTCCATGTCCTGCCACCAAAAGGAGGGACCCAGATTAAAATGGGTCTTTCTTCTACCTCAAAAGATCCACCATTAAAAATAGGTCTTCCCACTTAAAATGATTAAATTAAGGAAAAAAAATCCTCACAGATGTACCCAGCCACTTGGGTTTTAGTTCATTCCAGATATAGCAAGAACACCCATCACAAGTCTACCCCTTGTCAATTTGACATACAATTATACCTCCTTATGTCATTATTAATATCCAAATGAAAGCAATAAGCAGGTCATAATTATGCCTAATATAGTCTAACTATCCCACATACAATTGTAAATGTATTATATATTTAACCAGGTCATAACTACACCTAACATGATATAACTATCCCTCACAGAACTGCAAACACATTATAAATTTTCAAATAAGTGTCAAAGTCCTTTGAGAAACATTCTTTTGGAATCTCAAAACTTTTTTTTTTGGTTTTTCGAGACAGGGTTTCTCTGTGTAGTTTTGGTGCCTGTCCTGGATCTCACTCTGTAGACCAGGCTGGCCTAGAACTCACAGAGATCCGTCTGGCTCTGCCTCCTGAGTGCTGGGATTAAAGGCATGTACCACCACAGACAGCCCAGCTGGAATCTCAAAACTTAAATATGTTATCTCTTAATTGATGTTATATTTCATGATAAAACAAATATCTGTACAAACATTATCAAAATATAACTATATTTTAAACTTTTTGTCATGATATTAATGGTCATATAGAGTACTAAATAATTCTAGAAAAAGGCTTCATCTAGCTTCCTGTACATGATGACAGGTTTGAGTCTCTATCAGGTAACTAGGAATTAAGTTTTTTTAACTCTGGATACACATAACAAATATTGATCCTTTAACCTTTTTGAGATCTGCTGCATATGACATTTAAAATGTTTAAGTTTTCTTCAATGAATCATGACCACATCTAACAGCGACCTTTGAAGTCTCCAAAAGGATGATGGGGCCCCACAACGATAATTCCACATGGACTATGATAATGCCACTAACCTGACAAACACCACCTAAAGATTGGCTTTGGACTATGAACTGCTCAGGACAATCTCGAGGTGGCTAGCTGAGATGGTCCAGCCTCACAGAGTACTCTAGCCAGGACTTGAGACAAGCCCTGCACTTTCCCATTATGCAGAGACTGGACAACAAATGATACACTAACTCTCCCAGTACTTGACAGTTAACACAAATTTTTCTTTTCAGGGTCCCCTAAAGATGCCATCACCCCCAGACAGTAGGACATAAACTTAAGAACATTGCTGTGGGATGTTCTGTATGGCAAATGTGTTGCTGATTAGTCAATAAATAAAACACTGATTGGCCATTGGCTAGGCAGGAAGTGTAGGCGGGACAAGGAGGAGAATAAAGCTGGGAAGTGGAAGGCTGAGTCAGAGAGACACTGCCAGCCGCCACAATGACAAACAGCATGTGAAGATGCCAGTAAGCCACGAGCCATGTGGCAAGGTATAGATTAATAGAAATGGATTAATTTAAGCTGTAAGAACAGTTAGCAAGAAGCCTGCCATGGCCATACAGTTTGTAACCAATAAAAGTCTCTGTGTTTACTTGGTTGGGTCTGAGTGGCTATGGGACTGGCAGGTGAGAGAGATTTGTCCTGACTGTGGGCCAGGCAGGAAAACTCTAGCTACAGAACATGACACCCACATTCCCAAGAGGTGGGGTGGGTGGTTTTTGGTCTTTCAATGGGTTATGGATATTTGTCATCATTTAAGGTGGTTGGTTACAAGTTGTTATTGGTAATAATCAGGAAAACTAAACAAAGGAGATTAGATTTAGGTTTCTTGTTGTGAAAAGAAAAAGGGATACAAATATGATAGGATCAAGGAGTAGATTATTGAATCTACTCTGAAAAGAAAAGTGGGGATATAGATATGATAGGATAAAAAATAGATCATTGAATCTACTTTTAAAAAGCATGTACTAGTTTTAAATATTTTACATTGATATGGATCTCTGTATATTAATACAAAGTTGAGATTATTTTTGTTAGAATATACTGTACATACATTTCTAATCTTGTTCAAGGTATTGTACCTATACCTCTCATTTAACAATGTAATGCAAAATTGCTAGTTCTTAAAAGTTATTATTAAAAACTATTTAGGATAATAAAGGAATGCAGGTTAGTAATTAGTCACATTTACAATCAAGTTTGTAGTCACATTAGGTATGTTTTCAAGGCCAAAGAGATATATTTTAGATAGGTTGTCTTCAAACACTTCAATATCTACAGAATATGGCATTTAAGATGTTTTAATAACATAGGTTCTTTTTTTTTTTTTTAATGACAGTGAGACATGTCTGCTCCTGGCAGCATCAATCTACTTTAGAGAAGGTGATGCGCATCAAAGAAACTCCATATGGAGACTAACACATTTCCTGGTACATGGTATGCAGCTGTTGGTCTAGCAAATACCTTTTTCTTGGTACCTTTCTATAAGGACCACCAGAAGCGATTTGTGGCAAAAGTTAGCCACTGGGCAAGAAAATGCCCTTGCCTCGACTGCTGACAGTATACTGTCCAAATGGGACAAGCAGGACACAAAATAAAGGACTACTGAACTTTGCCAAGACAAGGTAGGACAGCCCTTCAAAATATCCTGTTTCACAGAAAAGTCTGTCAGATACTCTAGGCCTGTAGGTGGAAGATGGCTGCCCCAGCACTACAGAGTCACCCAGCTGTAGGTGGAAGATGGCTGCCCCAGCACTACAGAGTCACCCAGCTGTAGGTGGAAGATGGTTGCCCCAGCATTACAGAGTCACCCAGCTGTCCAGGCAGCCAGCTGCTTTTGTCATTTCTCACATTTTTTGGAAGTCACTTGCTCGCACTTCCTGTTTAGTCAGGTAATATTATTTCCTTCTGGCGTCTCTGAGGGAGTTGAAGACTAGATATTTATAGTTACAGTTTTTCTTGTTCAGATTTAGAAAAGAAATTCACTAAAGAGGTGTAAAGTGTGTAAGTTTGAGAGAGATCAAAAGATAATTTTAGATGATAATGCAAGTTAGGATAGAAAGTAAATTAGGTACAAGATTTTAGACTCACCAAGATAAGATAGATAATGGAGTATTCTCTCTGAATTTGTCAAATGCAAATGGACTAGACATTGTTGATGTATTTATTGCCTATATATTGTATGTAGTTATTGTACTTATTTTTTTTTCCTGGAGCTGAGGACTGAACCCAGGGCCTTGCGCTTCCTAGGCAAGCGCTCTACCACTGAGCTAAATCCTCAACCCCTATTGTACTTATTGTATATAGTTTTTCTTATATTATAACCTTTTTTAATTTTAGAAAAAAAGGGGAAATGTGGTGATATTTTTTTGTGTGATCTAACAAAGCTTGTCTGAAGATCAGAATGCAAAGCTAAGCCACTAATTAACCATAGAAACCAGGCAGTGGTGGCACATACCTTTAATCCCCACACTTGGGATCTCATGCCTTTGCTCCCAGAACCTGGGAGGCACATATGCCTTTAATGCCAGCACTAGGGAGGTGGAGACAGGAAGTGATATGGCTGGGGGGGAGAAGGGAATATAAGGTGGGAGAAAACAGGAGCTCAGATATTTTAGCTGAGGAGTTGGTGAGGTAAGAGGTGGCTGTGGCTTGTTCCTTTGTCTCCCTGATCTTTCAGTATTTACCCCGATATCTGGCTCCAGGTTTTTATTAAGACCAATTAGGAT